AGAGACAATTATTGAGCCTTTAATTCATAGGATTTATGAGAGAGAGAGAGAGAGAGAACTTACATGAGATAAGCATAGTTGCCATTACTGCTGAGAACCCGTCGAATGCCATCAGCGTTAGAAGTGGTGAAAACTTGTGGGTTATTCTTCATAAAGTGATACATCTTTTGATGCATAGCTATCTTGGATTCAGCAAAAAAGGATTTCGTGGAACCGCTTCGTAAACATCCGTATTTGATGTGACTCTGAGAGGCTAAGCCGTCGGCATCTTCTATGGGATAAACCACTTTCTCGACTGTGAGAAAAGCGGCCAAATTTGCTGTGTATGACGAGATCATTATCAAAGTGAAGAAATACCAAATGGCAGCCACTGTTCGCGTAGACATAGCTCTAGAACACAATTTCACTCTTTATATACACACAAACGTACTCTACATTTACAAAATCAATATTATCTAAAGATTACCAAAATTAATATTATCTTTAGATAATATTAAATAAATAATTATACGTTATTTAATATGATTATAAATATGCGTAAGCTTAAAATTGTATGTGAAATAATATGTCGTTTTGATCTGCCATATAATATCTTAAGCATAATGTGGTCAAAGACTAGCGTTGCTAGAAAATATGTTGTATATCCTGTATAATTGTGTACATTTTACCAAAATTCCTGCATTTTCCTGTATTTCATTTATCTCAATTAAAACTTTAAATTCGTACAATTTTAAAAGAATTATACTTTTTTGCGAAAATTCGAGTGCTTATACAATGTCTTTATAATTGAGTTAATTAAGTTTAAATTCAGTTGATTTCTACCATTAGGTTAGATTGTGGACGAACAGTGTGTGTACAAGACTAATATTATTAACAAATCTGAATATTTTGATACTTTTATAGTTTATTGTTAAATATCTATTCCTGCATTTGTCAATGTACAGAAATATCACCTTCTTGAACAGGGTCCGCCAAGCTTTGATCCCACCCCTGGGCGGAGCCATTATCATAACATGTGTTTGTTGCTGAACAATGCGATACAACTTTTATGGAAAACCGTTGTAAACAACAAAAATTTTATTGCGTTACTCAGCAATATAGGCTTGTTATGATAATGGCTGCGCCCAGGGATGGGATCAAAGTTTGGCGGACCCTGTACTCTGAAATATTTCTTAATTCCTGTATAATAAGGTCATTCCTGTATATCTGGCAACGCTATCAAAGACAGCAACGGGTGATGACGGCTGACACTATAGGGGATGGACTCGTCATTTCTCATTTCGTTCAAGTCTTCTAACAATGCCTTAATTCATGAGTAGTTTAATTTTTATAAAAATGTCCTAGTAAGAATATTTAATAAATAGCATAGTTTTTCTAATTTTCTTAGTTTATGAGAGAGTCATTACATTTCCATTTAAAAATATTCCCCAAAACATAAATCCTATGAATTAAAGGCTCAATAATTGTCTCTTTAAAAGTTTACAACACTTTTATTTTCTGTTATTTCGATATTAATTCTATAGAATCTATACTATAGTAACTGTGGTGTGTGTGTGTGTGTGTGTGTGTGTGTGTGTGGGCCGACTCACACCATGTAATATATAATCTATTGATTTATTATTTATTAAAACAATAATTGATTTGTATTACAAACAGATGAATGGGATGATCCGCACCCCTGCAGACAAGGAGATAATGTACTCGAAAATAATTTCAGTTTAATTAATAGCTTTTCATTCACTATCGGCACCATGATGCAACAAGGCTCAGCTGTCGCACCCAAGTTAGCGCACACTACACTCACTATTCTCTCTCTCTCTCTCTCTCTCTCTCTCTCTCTCACACACACACACACACAC